GTTACAGTGTAACAATGTTACACGCTTGAAAAAATTGACATAATCAAATTAAAGCTAGTCCGTCCCTGGCGAACTAAATACGCCAAAGGTGTTTAAAAGTTAACTATAGTTATAACTAGTATTTTTTATATTAAAAAATTATTAAGTTACTTTAAAAGTTCTTAAACAATTTTCACATAAGTTTTAAATAAGCAAACTGTAATTTATGGATAGCACCCAGGACCGGATCAAACCGGATCCAATTTTTCATGGTACTAACACACCAAGGTACTAACTTTCTGATCATGACAAAATTGAGCTCCGGCTCGTGGATGTCCTAAACAAAATCATTTTTTAAAAATTACAATAATTTTACATAAGTTTGGTTACATATATAATAAATATGTTTTCACTAAAAAATCGTTTTATTCACCTAAAATAAGTAATAAAAAATAGCATATACTTTAATGATAATTAAAAAAATAATATTTAAAAAAGTACCTTTTTTACTGGTTACTTGAAATCACTTCAAGAAAGTTCAAATTTGACCTTCTCTACTAAATCAGTTATGAAACTTAAGAAATTTGTTATATGTTTTTAACATACCTTTATTAGTTTACTAATGAAAAAAAATTAAATTTACTCAAATATATTAATGTAGATTTTATAGGTTTTGGCCAGCTTTTTGGGCATTTCCAACACTGTGTGCCAGTACAATACAATAATTGACTAATTAAGTGATCAACTTTTTGTTATGCACCTATTTTAAAAATAAATTTCATTAAAAGTCTTGTCAAAGAGTATCTATTAGATATATACTCTTTGATCTTGTTTTGAATCTCTCAAAATGAGTAAGGTATTTGTTTTTTTTTTTACTTAATTCTTTTTTTTTCGACTTAAATCTATAAAACGACTTAAATCTAAAAACGACTTAAGTATTTTTAGGGACTTAAGTCCCTAAAAATGACTTAAGTCTTTTTCTAGATTTAAGTCGTTATATATTTGATTTAAGTCATTTTTAATAAGACTTAAGGCTTAAAAAAAAAGACTTAAGTCTTTTTGAAAGGCTTAAGACTTAAATCTTTTCTGTTTTATAGAAAAAATGACTTAAGACTTAAGTCATTTTTATTTCAAAAAAGACTTACGACTTATGACTTAAGTCTTTTTAGAAGTGACTTGTGACAGCTCTGCTTGTGCCAAATATGTAAGTTTTCCCGTACGATTTTAATCACAAACTGGGTTACTTGGAATCCTTATTATCATGAGAAAACTTCTAAACTCCACGAAAGGCAATGTAACGGAAAATTGTTGAAAATACGTCTGCAATAACAAGCAATTTTTTGCACGCGCGTAAGCCAAATAAACGAAGCAACTTCCCCGAACTTGGCGCTACATAATAGAGCAGTTATAAAGAAAAATCGCCGTGTTTTTAAATGTGTTTCAAGGAAGCCGAAAAGTTTAGAGCATTGTCTAGCTAAGGAAAACATAGCTTTGTTGCCAAGTAATATTTCAACAGCGCATTCAGTTCGGTTTCTTAGTCCATCGATCACAGCAGTTAAGCTTATAAGTATACTCCCAACGAAACGAATAAATGTTTTAAATAAGATTAATTACAATGAAAATAACATCATTTATACAATATTCAACAGATATTATGTTATTTATTCCATGGACCAAAAGTTATCAACTGTAAATGTTGATAAAATACAGAGTGTCAAAAATAAAGCGACATAAATTAACTGTTTTTTGGGAAGAGAAATTCAATTTTTTTTATAGTATTGATGTTTCTAAAGATAGTTTAAAAAGCGTAATAAATAAGAAAATCACATAAACTTTTGAACTCAATAAAGTAAAGAAGCATCGGGTTTTCGCAACACGCGCGTCATTGTGGAAATTCAAAAATTGTGAATTCACAATAATAATATTTAAAAAAAAATAAGTATTTTTTTCATAAAAAAAATTTTGTTCGCAAAGTTTCAATTGCACAGCTAAATTAGTACTGGATACCGATTTATTATTTCTTTTAAGATATATATAAACTACTCAAAACGAATTAAATACCTGTATCTTTTTAACTTTTAAAGCAATCCTTGTATAAATTTATATGCTTGTACTAATATAGTGTACTTAGGTACACATTTTTCATGTGCTTAAACTTTTTTTTTATTTAGATACCTTTTGTACAAATGCGAATTATTTAAAAAACGCTTTATATAATAATAATAATAATAACATTTATTGCCCAACAGAATACATAATTCCAATTACAGGACAACATATTATGTAATAACAACACCATTAAGTGTTTATAATAACAAAAAATAAATCATTTACCTATTCCTCAAATTAACAAAACAATAACAAATATAAGTTTTAAGTATTAAGGGAAAAAAATAACATGGCTGTATTAGATACACTTCTAAAACCATCATTAAACAAATCACATAAATTACAAATTTGGTTAAAATTTTGACACATAACATGTATTGGGGACAATTAAAATATTTGTTCTAGCGTTTGTGTTATAAAATAAAGTCTCTGATCGTAAACCCAATCTTGTTACAAAAATGTTTATTTGCGACAGGAGACTAGGAGAATCGATCCTGTACTTCTAAAAATATTTATTTTCAATTTTTCGAAGAAAAGTCACTTCTCATAATTTCTTCTGCTTGTTACATAAATACCATTTACGATGAGAAACTTATATTTTGTTATACAGGGTGCGCAAAAAAACAATTGTGGATTTTGCAAAATTAAAAATTGTTAAATAAATATATTATTTTGAAGGTCTAATATGAAGAGTTTGTAAGGAGAAACCAAAAAGCCAAATAAAGTTTTTTCATTTGAGTTGTTGTTACTAATATATTTGTTATTAAAAATAAAATCAATTCAGGTCCCAACTTGAGTGGTCCTATTATTTTGTAAAAATTGACTGCTATCTCATTTTGTGACTATGAATCAAGGTTGTTGCTTTTAATTGACATGTCTACAATTATTTGTTAAAATTTAAAAACTAATATTTTAAATTTTTAATATCAAATATCTTAGTATCAAAAACTCATATGAAAAAACTTCACCCTATGAAGTGCCATTTGCCGTAGAAGAAGGTCCACAGTTTATTCTACAGCATGATAATGCGAGACCCCACACTGCTCGTATTGTCGCACAATATCTTCAAGATAATATAATATCGAGGTTTTAGAGTGGCCTGCAAACTCCCCAGATTTAAATACTATTGAGCATTTCCAAGATGTTCTTTAGAGAAGGAGATGGAAAAATGCTTCAGGAGGAGTGGAACAATATTCCCAGAGAAATTATAAGAAATTTTGTGGAATCTATGCCCAGACGATGTGAAGAAGTTCGGCTAGCCAGAGAAGGACACACACGTTACCAATTTTTTTTTATATATTATTTTAGGTGTATTTAAAAAAAAATTGGAAAATTTATTTTTTAGATATTTTAGGAAATATATACCGCAGTTAAAACCTTAATGTTTCCCAAAACTAACACTAGTTACAAAATAAAAATAAAAAAAATAGTTTATTTAAAAGATAAACAATTTTAAAAGTGGTTCTTAATTCCTTTTGATTAGTTTGTCATTGATTAACAAACTCAACGCTTATATGCTTATATATGAATTATTGTGTTTTTAATTGTAAATTTAATGTAAGTATTTTCATGTTTTGCCAAAGGATACAATTCGGTACGTACATTTGTTGGTGCAGAATTAAGTAATGATAACTTCACCTAATATAATTTATATTTAAGTTTGGACATTTTTAGAAATGTAGCAAAAAATAGTAGTTGTGCAAACATAACCTTAAAATAAAACTTTTTTACATTTGAATGCATTTAAAACAACATAATATAATACCCGTTTTTGGTCTTTTACTGTTGAGTGTAAACTCTCTCAATAAACGCTTTTAATAATGCATAATGCTGTTTGAATTTAGACGACTTGTTTTATGATTTTTACTGAATTGAAATGTTTAAAATTTTCAAGTAAATCATAATTAAAATGTGTATTTATTGTATCTAAAGCCGCGTCCAGATTTGTACCACGTCGCGCAACCATACCACGTTGCGAACCACGTCGCGCGCAATCTGGACGTCGAAACGAACGCCGTCGCAAACCTAATAAGCGTTGCAGCTCGATGTACGTCGCGATCCACGACTTGTCGGTAAACTGACGAAACATCAAAGGATTGGTATGCGACGACGTTGAATAAGTCTGGACGGGCAGAAGGACAATTTTGTTTGTTTAGTTTTATTTTTTTGTGTATGAAATGGAGTGGACCGAAGAAAATATTCTACTTTTAATTAGTTTATATAGGCAAAATGAATGTTACAGCTAGTCTTTCTTGCACTGAGATTGCTTTTCGAAACTTGGTATCTTGCTTTCCTATTTTGGGCCCAATTGCATTAAGAAGATATTCAAAATCTATTGTTGACATTTGAGTGAAATTTTTATATTGAGCACTAATTCTTTGCATCTTTAAATCTGCAAGCAATTTGTTCGCACCATATTTCGGTCTATTTCTAAATATTTCTGTTTGCCACCACCGCCTTTTTTGTTTTCGCTTTTTAGTTGATAAAGCGAAATGAATATAAATGTACGCTGCTGCAGCGATATCCATTTTAAAATCTGACTAAAAATTGGAACGCGGCAATGGTTGCAACCCGAGGTACGGTATGTTGTTCGAGGCGGCGTACGTGTTTCAGGATGAAATTCGCGTCGTGGTTCGCAACGTGGCTCGCGACGTGGTACGGTTGCGCGACGCGGTACAAATCTGGACGCGGCTTAATAGGTACAATTTATATTTACAGGGACTGTATGCAATTTATTTCTTCATTAGGGTTTCCACTGTTTATTGGGAAACCGGTAAAAACTTGACCTCTCGAAAAACACCCAACAACTGATTATTATTAAAAGTTGTGGTTTCGTTACGATGATAACTGACACGTGGTGACGCTACTAGCGATGCTTCTTTAGCGTATAATCACGTAAAGTTGTCTCCTACCTTTTCTAGTTGTTTCTGAAGTTTCCTAATGGTTTGTCGATACCGCAGGTCTCTTTTTTGCGCCTCCTCCAAAACAGACTCCAGCTCGACAATGCGGGACTCCAGGAAAGTCTGAAACAACATAAACGCATTTCTTAAACCAATTTATAATAATTGTGAAGCGTGGGTTCGCTAAGGCATGCATAATGAGGTTAAGTCCAATTATATCTTTAAACAATTACGATTATCTTGGCGGACATGAGGTCCGTAAAGTTCAAGTGTCACTTAAGTTTGAAGAAATTTAACAACCGCAAATTGTGAATACTGTGATTTAAATATAAAAAATAAACCACACCACACTTATCATCATTATTATAATTTATCACAGAAAAAAGGGGTATTTTCCGCAATTTAGCCGCTGCTGTCCATATTTCCATACATGTATTATTTATACCGCGATATGCGGCTTCCTGTGCCAGATAAAGAACCGATTAAGCCACATTTGTTTATGGTACTTTAGTTGACAGATAAACAAATTGCAGATATGAATTCCGAAAAAATACTAGACACTGTCAATATTATATATATATATATATATATATATCGTAGGTCAATGAAGTTTACTATAAGTTAAAGAAGTCGGTTTTATTGTTAGTTTTATAAAATATAGTTAAATATATTAATGTAGGTAGTAGAAAAAGTAAAATTTACCAAATTTATTGTTAATTTGTTGTAATATTCTTATAATTTTTAGTAGAAAAAGTAAAATTTACCAAATTTATTGTTAATTTATTAAAACATTGTAATATTCTTATAATTTTTTGTAAAAAAATAAAACGTAAAAAAAGTAATGCTAATTAATTCTACATTAAAATTTAAAAAAAAATTAATTTTCTTCATAAAAATTACTTTATCACACTTTTAAAAAATTTCGTAGAAATTTTTGGAAAATAGCTTTCTCGTGAATAACAGGGGCGTCTTATCGATAATTATTGATAAGGCGCCTCTTCTATCGGTATATTACTTCTATTTTATTAAAAAATATACCTACAGTAATAATACAGGGTGAGTCTTTCAACTTGAAACTTAGAAATATCTTAGTTATTTTGCATTTTACGAAAAAATGTTTAAAATAAAAATTAAATGATTTGAGGGGGGAAATCAATCAGTACTAAAATTGGTCCTCATAGGGGAAAATTTCCATTGGAACACCCCATTTTTTATTGCAGATTCGGATAATTTGACTAAAAATAGGTAGTTTTTGTCTAAAACATTTTTTCATATTTGTAATAGATGACGCTGTAATGAAAAAAAAATCAATTTTGTTCGATTTTTCTTCTGCAGTATACATGTATACGATTCTCCAATAATTTTTAAATAAAATACTTGGTTTTATTTTTTAAATTTATTTATTTATTTCGTTTTAATATTCTGCTAACACTGCTTTGTGATATTCCCAAATCTCTAGATAATTCTCGTGTGCTGCAGGGGGATTAGCGGCCGTTGCTGCTAATACATTAATTTCATTATTTCCACCTGTGACTGTTGCTCGACGAACTCTTTTTTTGCGGTTGAAAACTCCCGTTTGTAGTAAACTGCTTGACTGTACGGTGAAATGAAGTACGTGATCAAATTTTTTCCGGAAAACGCTGAGCGTAGATATTAACAGCATTATCAAGATTCCTGACTGCTTCTCCATAAATCAAATTCATTTCTATTTTTTCTTCCACTGTTAAAAAATCTATTAATAACTGCTTAACGAAATGAGGTATTTTTGTTTGCAAATTAATCTTCGAACTAAATTGATTAAATAATGCTCTTTATACCTCAATAATAATTATTATTTATAACTAAATCCATTTTTTATCCCTCAATTAGGATTAAATTAATTAATTGACAAAATAATTTGTTTACCTTAAATGAGGTATTTTTAATAAAAATAGTACAATAATCCTTTAAATTAAAGGATTTAATGCTGGCAGGTAAAAAGTGACCATGGTGCGCAATTGATAATTATCACCGAATGAAATAATGTACAAAACTTAAACCAAAGGAAACTTAAAAAATTAGTTAAAAAATCGTGGGTAAATTTATTTTAATTTAATAAGATAATTATTACCAAAAAAGTGATATTTTTATAGAATAGTAAATTCTGTAACAAGTTTGGAATACAGCATATTCCGCTCGAGTAAAAATTTGACACACGAGCCGAAGGCGAGTGTGACGGTTTTACGAGAGTGGAATATGCTATTCCAAACGTGTTTCAGACATTATTTTCTCTACGACTACGTAAGAATAGTAACGCTTATATAATTTTAAACAGAGAAAAGAAACCAAGCAGTTTTTGATATTTAAGTATTTTGTATTGTCAAACCATTTTGTGCCGTCACAATTTTATAATGTAAATTATAATAAATTTAAACAAATGGTATGCCTAAATCTTTATTATAATTAAAAATAGTTATTTACACTAACTAATAAAAAAAATAACCATAACAATAACAAATACAAAACTAATTTTACAAGTAATCTATGTCAACATTTATTCTTTTTCTACATTTTAAAGGTCTTTTTTAAAACTTTTTGAATCTGCCAAAACTTCAAAGCCGGTATAGTAGGTACCTGGTTTATTATTTTAATATCAAATTTATTATAATTTTGATTTGAAAAACAATAAATATATTTAGTTATATATAACTAATTTTTTATGCCTAAACCTTAATTATACAACTGCTATTATTTTTAAATTAATAAATAATACAGTAATATTTAAATATTTTTAAATTTTTTACGTTTAGTAAACAGCCAGGAGATGTCGTTACTTGTGACCATTCTTAAACAAGAGTAGGAATATTCTCGCACAGTATTGCAGAAAAACATCCTTTCTATGATCAAAAATTACACTAGAATGTTACTATTCTTAAGTAGAAAAATTATTCCAGAATCGTATAAGAAGAAAAATCTGATAATGCGCATTACATGTGCGTAATACTATGCTTTTTCTCATCAATTAAATTCATGTTGGCCATTTTTTAGAAAGTCTAATTTACAATTTTTGTTAGAAATTACAGTTTGTTCTGGTTTATGTTATGACAAAGGATTTGGCAAATGTCACCACTAACAAAATAACGATATTTGCAAAATAGGCTTAAGTTAATTACAGTTATACCTATAATAATTTCACAAGCGTTGACATTTGTTTGCTCATCAAAAACTTCTAAAAAACTAATCCAGGTCATACCTGCATTTCATCTACAAATGTACACAAACACGAAATATTTTATCAACAATAATTTACTGAAATAGGCTAATCTATCGCTTTAATCCTAGTAAATTGCCTTTAAATATGGAAATAAATTTAAATAGTTGTCGAAATGCCGCCGATTTATTTTGATTGCATTTCAATCGATTCGGTCGAGAGAACCGATTAATTTATTTATTACCTAAAATGGCTAATTGTTCTCGCAGCTCTCTAACAATTATTGTTTTGCAAAACTATTTCAACACCCTGACACAAATATTAGTCATTAAAGATAAATAAGTTTTGACAGAATCAAATTGCGTTTTATTTATAAATATAAATGCTGGTAGTTGGGCGATAAGTTCCGAACAATGATTTTTATTGTGGCAATCCTATTTACTCTATGAAGTAAAAATAACCCTGACATTCAATTTAACGTAAAGGTCTTTGCGAACGATGAGGTTTTTAGTATCAAGATTTTGTCAAGGCCGTTTCAAAATACATCATTAGTCTTTCTTTTAGGGTCCATAATGTTTTGAGCAAATTATATCCAAATACAGATATTTTCTTTGATAAAAGTACTGCATTTATCTAATTCATTAATTCAATGTAAATTTTATTTTGTAAAATTTTAACATAATTTTTTATAGAAAACCAGGATTTGTAATTATTTTAACAAAGGGAAATATTTTACCGAAAATTTTGTTAAAGTTACAGATTAAAGTTAAGTTTTAACAAATTATTTTGTTAAAAAAGTACACTGGTTTTTAAACTAAAATAAGGGGAGACAGTGAAGTGGGTTAAAGTTACGAAATTCATTAGTTAGTGTTGTAGTAGTACTGATAAATATATTGAACGAAATTTCTTTATAATTAATTACACTAGTTTACAAAATCGAAAAAAACTTCTGCCCACCGTATCCCATTATAATTTTTCCATGTATTTTGACTCACTAAACACGAAAATCACACTTAATTTTTATTTTATGGCAGCGTTTTTAAAATATGAATTTTCAATTGAATTGTTTTTTTTTCAATTTTCTGAGGTGTTTTGACGTTTTTGAGTATAGATTGAAATTTAATTGATCGATTTGGTGAAACAAGCCCTTAAATTAAAGGTATTTGAGCCGTCTAAAACTTTCTTTTACATACTTTTGATATCGGATAAGTATTTTGGCGCTAGCTTAAAAAATTCCTTTTTATGACAAATCAAGCTGACATTTTTACAAAAAAAAAACAAGCTAAGGTTGATAAAAATACATAGAAAAATGGCGAAGTTATAAATTTTTTAGTGGAAGACCAAAATTTTATTTTTAATATGAATTCTTTATAAAGAATTCATATTACAAAATAAAATGAAAACCTAAGTAAGTTTTTTACGTACTTTTTTCACCGAAAACATTATTCAAAATTTAAATTTGACATGACTCCGCAAACGTGAATTCTTTTGTTTCTCGTGTTGGCATAGTGACATTTTACTGCTATTTTGTGAAATTTCAACAAGGTATTTTTATCATGGTCTTATTTAGTTAATAAAAAGTGTAAAATGAGTAAATGAAGTAGAGAGTTCGAGTGGGTAAATAACCCGAACAATCTGGGTGACGTAAGTGATGAGCACGGAGAACGTTTTCACCAGCAAATGAAGGCTATGGAGCGGCGGTATCACGGCTTCTGGGATGCAGTCATGATGGGTGATTACATTTGGTCCCTCATACGAGAAACTGAATACGAAAGCAACAAAAAACAAAGGAGACAGATTTTTTTTAAACCTATGCTTATTTAAACAAAATAAAACCTTCAATATCTTCAATGTTCAATATTTATTGTTTAATATTTAATATATAATTTATTTTAAATATTTAATGTTTAAAATAAAAATCAATGTTCAATAT